ATATATGGTATAATACTAGCGTTAATATGTTATACCACATCAATTTCAGCTTATTTAAAGAGATAACCATGGTGTTGCAAAGGGTTAATGGTGGTGTCCATCACATTGTGATCACACATTTTCCTACTACAGTGTGTATGTTACATACTGTATGTGCTTCTCTCTTGATTTATTCCTCTCCCATATACCCATAAGAATTTATATGGGGCTATAATACTAGTCGTTAATATGTTATACATCAGTTTCTGAAGGAGATATATATACCCATGGCGTCCAAAGGGTTTTAATGTAATGGCTCTATAGGCCAGTGGGTGAGGTTCAGAGACATTGACGTTCGTTCCATAACCATTGCATAATGTAAGCCATCTCAGTTGCATAAACCTCTAAAGTGTGTAGAGGATTTGTCAGTCCATCAGTGTCTCTTGATTTTAAAGTCTCTTTGGCTATAACTGCATGCAAGCTTTAGTGAGACTATGTAGGGTACATACGTACGTATTTCCTAGCGTTGTGTTTGATTTGCAAGTCCACACTCCAGTACACCAGCAATATCAGACAGCGTATTAAAGGAAGGCAAATTACTTGAAATGGATTCGTCCATTTGCCGACTGTCCAGTTCCTCTCTTCAGCTGTACATGTAGAAAACACCATGTGATGAAAGATGGGGAGCTCTGGACAGCTGTTTCGGGCTTGTTGGCCCTCATCAGCAGAGCATACCCCAACTTCTCTCTCTGGCATCACGTTTATAAAGGCTGCCATGAGCGCAGCACTTGTGGTTCTGAACTAATGAGATTCATCCCCACAAGGCACTGCTCAGGCTACCTGTACAACTATGTACTACATAAGGTTTAGTGTTGTGTTTAGTACACAACTTTTGATGCACGTGTGACTGTCTCTCAGGTACCACCAGCGAGTGCTGTACATTGACATAGACATTCACCATGGCGACGGAGTGGAGGAGGCATTCTACACCACCGACAGGGTCATGACTGTCTCCTTCCACAAGTACGGAGAGTACTTCCCCGGCACTGGGGACCTCAAGGTACTCTTTATACCAAGGTTTTGCACTATAGTATATACATACACTTTCATTAGAGCAGTGTTTACTGTAAAGATTGTGGCAATGTAGTTCTAAGGGATAAATGTTACTCAGAAAACCAATCACATTCTGCATTGGACTTTTTAGTCCGATGTTTAGTAAATTTAACCCTTATGTATGTACTGACAAATTTGTCTTATGATGGGCCATGGCCTTCCAGTAAGCATGTAATGTATCCGTCACCTATTGGTCCGTCCCATCTGGCAACGGACATGGGGGCGGAGAAGGGAAGTACAGTACTATGCATGTATGCTACAGAACGGACCTGCTAACATGGTCCTTCCCATCCTGGCAACAGGACATGGGGGGCGGAGAGGGAAGTACAGTACTAATGCATGTATGTACACCACGTCACCTGTACACATGGCCCGTCCCATCTGGCAAAACGGGACATGGCGGAGAAGGTAAAGTAAATTACACGTCACCCTTAAAAAATAGTCCGTCCCCTCTGGCACCGGACATGGGGGCAGATAAAGGGAGTACAACCCATGCATGTATGTACAACATCAACCTGTAACATGGTCCGTCCCATCTGGCAAAACAGGACATTGGGCGGAGAAGGAAAAGTAATGTTACAACGTCACCCTGTAAACCATGGTCTGTCCCATCTGCAACGGGACATGGGGCGGAGAAAGGGAAAGTATTAATAAAATACAACGTCTACCTGTAATAATGGTCCGCCCATCTGGCAACAGGACGTGGGGGCGGAGAAACAAGTACTATGCCAGCAACTTCCCAACTGAGAGATGGCGCTTGACGACGAGAGCTACGAGCATGATCTTCAAACCTGTTCATGGCCAAGGTCTGCCTCTCTCTCCTCTGCACTCTCACTCAGCCTGTCCTCTCTCTCCCTCTTCTTCCTTTGCCTGCCAGTACGTGCTATTTGCTATGCAATGCGAAGTACAAGCTACGTATGTATAGTACATGGATAATGTGCATCTATGAATGAGATTGACACTCCTTCGTTCTCATGCTAGCTAGTAGCATAGAGTAGAGGTGCTGCAATGAATGTGGAATGTGACATGTATGTGTGTGTGTGTGTCCAGGTGATGGAGGTGTACGACCCGTGCAGTGGTGTTGCAGTGTGGAGCTGACTCACTGGCTGGAGACCGCCATCGGGATGTTTCAACTCTCTCTTAAAGGTTGCTCTACAGTACACTGCATGTGTCAACTACGAGAGGCAAAGGCACTAACAAATACATGTCAAACTACACCCAGATTGTGGAACAGCAATGTGCAAAAGACTTTTCTCCGAAACTCTACTGAATCCAGAATCAATATACCACATACTCATATATGTCTGTCCCTCTACTATTAAAAACTATGTCTTTCTCATTTCCAGATCTGTTCTCTCCACCGCATGCGGTGTGTGGACTTCATCCCCTACAACCTCCCTCTCCTGACCTCGGGGAGGTGACCCCTGGGACCTACGAGACTCTCTTTCCTATAGTCTCTCTAGTCATATGCTACCATCCCCCCTACACCCTCTCCACAGGTCATGCTGAGTGTGTGGACTTCATCCGTCGCTACAAACCTCCTCTCCTGCTCCTCGGAGGAGTAGTGCTACACCATCAGGAACGTGGCCCGCTGCTGGACCTACGAGCACTGCCGTCGCTCTCACGTGACATCGCATGTACTCTCCATTCCGTATCGCCAAAAAGCAGTAACCTACCTCTGCGCTTTGTACACATGCTCTATGCTAACGTTTTGGCTGCAGGGTTTATTACAACTGCTTTGTTTTTTTAACCCTTAGCAAACCACGGACGTATGTGTATAAGTCCTGAGCCTCCATAAGTCAATGAGAATTTATATATGGCTATAATACTAGGCGTTAATATGTTATACACATCAATTTCAGCTTATTTAAAGAGATAACCATGGTGTGCAAAGGGTTAATGGTGGTGTCCATCACATTGTGATCACACATTTTCCTACTACAGTGTGTATGTACATACTGTATGTGTCTCTCTCTTGATTTATTCCCTCTCCCCCTCTCTTTATCTCTTTATTGCCTTCTTGCCTTCTCTCTCTCCTTCCCCTCTCCCCTGCACCCAGAACTTCCCTACAACGACTACTTCGAGTACTATGGACCGGACTTCAAACTCCACATCAGTCCCACCAACATGACCAATCAGAACACACCTGAATACCTCAACAAGATCAAGTACGTAATATGCCTGTGGACTGAAGATAGCGCTAAACAAAGTACAAACAAAATGGCCTGGTGAAAGAATTTCCATTTGTAGTAACAGTATTATAGGTTTAGCCGTTAAATACTACCACATACCCTAACTAACCAACTACATACAATGTACGTTTTCTCAGAGTTACATATTCTATGACGTCTCTCTCTAGAGCTCGACTGTTTGAGAACCTGAGACTCATTCCTCATGCTCCCAGTGTCCCCATGCAATGTACGTATGTCATTACATCATTCTTACATCACATCTTTCGTATTTCCAACATCTATCTTATTCCTCATACTCCCAGTGTCCCCATGCAATGTATGTATGTCATTACATCATTCTTACATCATCTCTTTCGTATTTCCAACATCTATCTTATTCCTCCTGCTCCCAGTGTCCCCATGCAATGTACGTATGTCATTACATCATTCTTACATCATCTCTTTCGTATTTCCAACATCTATCTTATTCCTCCTGCTCCCAGTGTCCCCATGCAATGTACGTATGTCATTACATCATTCTTACATCATCTCTTTCGTATTTCCAACATCTATCTTATTCCTCCTGCTCCCAGTGTCCCCATGTAATGTACGTATGACATTACATCATTCTTACATCATCTCTTACATATTTCCAACATCTATCTTATTCCTCGTGCTCCCAGTGTCCCCATGTAATGTACGTATGACATGACATCATTATTACATCATCTCTTTCGTATTTCCAACATCTATCTTATTCCTCGTGCTCCCAGTGTCCCCATGCAATGTTGTATGTTACTGATGTGTACATGTATGTGGTAAAACAGTTCACTATTTCACTACTGTACATGTTAGACTGTGTACTGTACATCTACAGCCATCCCAGAGGACATGATCCAGGACCCAGAACCAACTGAGGATGATCCTGACGAGAGGATTCCACGTGAGAACCAATCTCTCTCTATTAGCATGTCTCTACAACTTGGTAATGAGGTAGAAAGGCAAGGCAAGGCAAACAAGGGAACCACACCCACGACAGCTCATCTTTTCAAAGAAAAGATGAGCTGCCCCAGGGCACTTAGCATATGTACACATTATGCATGCCGTCATGCTACATGATGCGACCATTCACTGTGCCTCGTGAACTAATGCGACGCATTTTGGCATTTTGGCATTTTGGCAACAAATATACACCCCCCCATGCAGAGCATGTCCAGGACAAGATGATAGCCAGAGAAGAGGATCTCTCTGACAGCGAGGACGAGGGAGACGGCCGACGCAACGAGAGTGTCGGTCACCACGACAACAATCAATTGCGTCTGGCCGACGAGGGGGGAGACAATTAGGCCCCTGCCAAAATAGAAACCTTACCCATTCTTACACATTGTTTTGTTCCTTATTTAGTAGTTTAGCCTATGAAATAGAACATTCCCATTAAATACCCTCCTTTACAAAGTGTATGCTTAGTGTACACTTAGGAGTAACATTATGTCATACTCATCACTGTAAGTTGTAGATGCCAAGTCCATGGAAACTAGAGAGTCACGGAGGCCCTGAGAGCTGTCGGCATTCTAGCACAGCTATGACGCAACTAAGGGCCCCCAAGGTTGGGTGCTATAATGCTCATAGTTTCCATGGACAAGGCAGCGTGTGCCCACATCAGTGCAGCTTAAATGGTGAACGAGCCTCCCCTCCTTTCACCATTTCTTCCCTGCTATAACTGTCACTGCAGGTGGAGGGAGCATCCAGAGTCCCGTACCCCCGGAGCCATCTCCCATCACCCCCAGTCCTCTGGTCACACCACACAGCCAGGAGAGCAAGGCTGAGACTGCCCAGGAGAAGACTGGTGAGACTCAGTCGTATGTATGTGCATCCATCCATACCAATCCTTCTTCGCCTCGAATTTGGTGTCACTTTACCAACCCCCACCACTCATTAAGAGTTCTTTTACTATAGTTGGACTATGGAAAAGTGTACTCTATCTCGCTGCACCTATATATCCCTATCTCCCTTTAGCAAGCCTTATATACTCGCCTCAATTTTAGTGCTGATTTACCAACCCCCGTGACTCATTAAGAGTGTCAATTATTTTACTTTTTTTTGTAGGCTCATGAATTGAAGTAGAGACACACTCTAAAGTGTAATTTAAACCTCTTAGAAAAGGGCAACTTCTTTATGGCAAAAGTGGAGTTGTCATTATATTTTTAGCAGCTACTCTACTGTATGTGTATATAGTTTTCTCATCTCTCCTCTGTTCCTGCAGCCAAGTCGGCCAGCCCGGGACCAGAGGCTGCAGACTCCAGTGAGGCCAAACCTGAGAAAGAAGGTCCTGCCACGACTGGAGAGACGGCGGAAGAGGGAGACGATCGGGAGATGACAGGGGTGGGGGAGAAGGGGGGAGGAGGGGAGGGGAGGAAGAGAGAGAGGGGGGAGAGGGAGAGAGGCCAAACCAATGGAGAAACTGGGGAGCAGGCTCTGACAAGGTACAACAGTGCCACAATCATGAAAATGTGCTTTATTTAGTGCGAATGTAAGACATTTTCCTGTTTACAGTGCAATAGCACAATGATCAATGTTAGCGCTAGGAAACATTCTGTGTAGATGGCATGTGAGAACTAAACCTCTGGGCTTCTCAAGAACAAGTTTGATGTACACTTTTTCATCTTGGATCCGGAATAGCTGTAGATGATATTTTCTGTGTTGTTATTCCAGTCCCCAGCCAGAAGGTTTGACTCGCCCCAGAGCACAAGCCACACCACCGCGTCCGAGGAGCCACAGGGAACACAGACACTGTGTCGCGTGCATGTGTGTGTCCACTGACTCTCTCACTTCACATAGTGTCTGACGGTGTACAGCCTTATTCGTCGTACACACTACCTTACAATCTGACTGTGAGTGTAATAATCTTTTGACAACACGTTCATACTGATTCATGGTAGCTATTGGACATGGTGGTTTGTTGAAGTTGCCTAGTCCTTCTGTGTATTATTTCTCGGAGACACATGTGCTGTTATTACGCCTGGCGCGCATGCGCAGCGACTGAGTTACGTAGTTTGCTCGTGATAAGATTACTTGGACTATGAATACTAATACAGTCAGATGCTATTGTCGGACTCGCAAATCCGACAGAAGAAGAAGAAGAGACGAAATGATGCAAAAGAGGCGTGGCCGAGAAGCCTATGCTCATGTACTGTGTAATTGCACGATGATATCAACTCAATGATTAATGAACGCATTACGTAAGACACGCTGTGGCCTTCAGATGTGCAGTGCAGTATGCATGTACCACGGTGCATGATAGATGATTCAGCATGGTGCTATCTGTTTCGGACTTTATGACAAATGAATCGTACTAACACTAGTGATAAAATGATGAACTACAGTTGCAACAGTTTTGCAACTATGATCC